ATATCCTACATCTTTGGAAGATGTAGGCTATCTCTGGTACCTGGAGATTTGTCACTTGAGTAGATACAGTCTCTCCCGCATAAAGGTCCCAGACACCGTGTGATTTTAGTTTATTCAACTCCGTTATTATCAATATGTCGTGCCCTCTGCGTTATCGTAACCGGCATTTTTTACGGAAAGAAACAGAAGTATGTCATATGTAGACACTTGTAATTCTTGAGTTGCAGGTGATTTATTACCTCGCTTCTCTTATATCATAAAAAAGTTAAAAGGGAATCTGTTAGGAGGCGGTTCAAATTGGTTGTGATTTTGATGTGTTCTAACTCCCAATCACTCGATTGCAACTCCGATTCTATAACCACCGCTTTATAAATCGGTGTTGATACACAATAATACTAAGGACAGTCAAAGAATATGTGTCCATGTAAAATGTGTAAATGCCATCTATGAAAGCGGCTATTACCTACATATTTTTCAGTTGGTTTCTAATTAAAACAATTTATACATTGGTAAAATCTCCTTGAGAAATGATTTCCTATCTATTCGATATGTGTACAATGTGTATTTGGCATGTTTGTTTAATTTGTATACTATATTATTGACTCATTAATCTAATTATTATTCTAAAATGCTTGTACTTAACAGCTTATTCTTCTCTACCCTCTCTCAAATTTGTAATGCCTGAAAAAGTCTACAAGTTGGTTGGTTGGCAAATAAAGATTGATTTGATTTGAAATCCCCATAGCAACAAATATAAATTCATATGTGTCATTTTTAGTAGTCACTCATGCAACTAAGATTACAAATTATTCCTAATTAGATACCTACATAAAACATTAAGTTCTGATAAGACACCCATGTCTTATCAGAATTATTATTATTGGCAATTATTCATACATAAAAACTTCCTAAAAGATTAACATTCACATTGAAACAGATAAAAAAAAACGGTCCTTACAGTAGTCATAAATAATAATAATATTCACATCTGGCACACAATGCCATGTAGTTTTAAACTAAGCAGAGCTTGTTTTATGAAAGACACAAAATTCATACATATTATACATAATGAGTAACATAATGATATCTTATGGCATAATCGAGCAATGCGCAGACTCATTGGTCAAATCAAATAGCGCGCACTTCTGCGACTTCCTGTTACACGTTTCCGTCCCGTTTCACGATGTCACTCTCATAGATGGAAGGAATGCGAGACGTTACACATCAAAAGTCATTTATATATATTTTAACTTTTGTAACCAATTGTATGTATACGCACAGGCCAGGTGGAGTGACGATTTGTGCCAGCTGGACGCGAGAAGCCCAAAGTCGATGTAAGTGGCGTGTAATGGGAGAGGTCTATGTCCAGCAGTTGACTGCAATAGGCTGATGATAAATATATTGTTTCATAATGTGTAGTATAAGAGAGATGAAATTGTGCCTTTGCAATTATTTTAAAGTGTATGGAATAAAAATCTTATAGCGATGGGCTGATGGGGAGGTGTTATAGGGACAATGATCCCTTCCCAACATCGTACACGCCAAATTAAAGATACCTATGATATTTCATTCTAGAATTCCTCGTTTGGTTGGTTTGTAATGTGACACTATAAACAAATCTAAGAACTTAATTTTAACCTGCTACTTATTGTCATAGTGAAATGAACTTTTCCAATCTTGAAGATGATCTGATGATAAGATCAAGTGGTGACTAGTGGAACTCTTCAGCGGTTATTAGTACCCCCTCAAGTTTGGACATAAATGATTAGTTTTCACAAGTCCAACAAATTGAGTTTGGTAAAAAGGCCTCATTATAAAGCCCTTATCAATTTGATTCACAATTTAAAGTATGCTTTTTAATTTTACTAGACTATCATTATTTAAAGCAAAAATAACCTTTGTTTATTCTGAATAATCTTTATATTGGTACGATAATGTATTAAATATGTTAAATAACAAATCAATTTATTCCCTGGAGTGGCCTTCAAATTTATTTTGTTATCCTTACAGGTAATTTAAACATTAAATGTTATTTATAAATATGTCCTTCTTTTACATAATTATGAAAGACCTTAATATGAAAGACAATAATATGTATTTAATTAAATAATGTTAATTAATGTTGTGTATGGTTATAGTTGGACTTCAGATTTAAGTATTGTATATTGTCAACATAATTATGTATGTTCGGATCTGTTACTGTACCTATTAAATAAAATAAACATTATGAGTTGTACAAAGTAGTATTGCCCCAGATAATTAAGAGCGAAGTTTTCTTTTTTGTTAACAACATACTAACAATTTTGATTTATAACTTTCTCCCTTTCTTTCCTAATTACTGTGGGAGTGATATTTTAAGAGACAGAATTGTGCAGCAGAAAGCTAGGACATCATCATTATCAACAGCCTGTAATAGTCCACTGCTGGACATAGGCCTCTCCTTAGAAAATATTTTTTGGCCTACTATACCACGCTGGCCAGATGGCTTGGTATAGGGCCGGTTTAAGTTTTCCTTCGTTTTTGTCAGTGCTGTTGTCCTGCTGCTCTTTTAGTGCCTTAGTCTGCTCTTACAACACCCATGGGATGAATAGGGGTGGTGACCCTCCGTGTTCTTACACACACTATTTGTTTGACTAATGAGCAAATGCAGCACTCAATGTCAGATATATATTGTATATGTTTTTTTTTATCATATTTGACTACTGTAAGGCTTATTGTTTTAATACATCCTAAATGTAATCATCCGAAAACCATAGACAAGATATTATGTGAGTTACATAATTTCTTGTCTATGGTTAAAAGCAGATGGTATAAAGGCATTTTTAATAAAAAAATAAATTGCCTTTCATAATAAATATTATACTACATTAATATAATCTTTAATTTTATCTTAATAATTGAAATTATTAATTATTAAATATTATATTTTTAATCTATTTTTAAAAGAGATATTTTTAACATATGTAATTAGAGACAATCCTAATGTTATTACAATGATATTAATTTTATTGATCATACCATGGGAAGTACTTTAAGCCTTAGGTATAACCACTTACTTCTTATATATATACCCATTACTATTTCTAATTAGAATAATAATTTTATCTAAGGGCCATTTAAAATATAAACCCCTTATGTAATAGAACTTAACATTAAATTATTAGTACCTATACTATAAACACCTTAGCCTAAAAAAAAATATTGCAAGGCACATTCCATTTTTAAATCAAAATCACATAACACCAGCACTACAGTTAGTTTACAGATAATATTACACTTTTAAAAGAAGATTTTTTGTTAATCACTCAGTTCACTCACTATCTTGCTGTCTAATACTGCATTACGAATGGTAATGATGCTTATGCTAGGTCAAGGTATCGAAATATCTATTTTAGTGCACTAGCGTCGGCCTTTTTATTATGTTACATTTTTATTTGACATTTTAACAAATACATATACGGCCAAGATTATAGCACTAACTGACGGAAATTAAATTTATTTAAATTTGTATTCCTTTACGTCTAGAGTAAATATGAACACAAGAAATAAATAACCGAAAATTATGCAGATAAATCACTTACCTAACAGAATAACAATCCGTAAATGAAGACAGCCTTTTTTCTTGAATAAATTATTTTTTATTTCACTGGTTAACTATGTATTTCATTAACAACAAATTCTATTATTTTATTTTACATGAACATTCAATAATCACACCCACAAACGGAATTCCGCGGTCGAATTGTGGAGTGTCATACTGACATAAAATTTGTCAAATTCGATCCATTCAGCTGTCTAATCCATTGCGTTTCTTTTTGCACACTGATTGTTCGAAAAGGATTTGTTAGAAGTACTTTCTCAAAACGGAGTGATACAATTTTTCTAAAGATAAATGTTAAAAACATTGACCTCAAATCTTATTCTTTGTTAGAGTAAGTAGTATATATTTTTAGTACATATTTCGTAGGAATGCATGCAATTTTATGATTTTTAATTATTGTACATTGTTTATTATATTAGTAACTTATTTCATGTGCTTCATTTGAATATAACAGTAGATAAAAGTAGCGACATCTATCAGTTTAGTGCCATACTTTAAATAACAGGGCTAGAGTTACAGCAGGTTGGGTTTCTCGTGCGTCTTATACAATCTTTTTTTTTTATTTAAAATTAAATCATTTATATAAAAAAAAAACATTGAAATTACTGTTAGGAAGTATTTTTAACTTTACTAAACTAACTACTTCATTACTTAAAAAATAAACTTTAACTTATTTCATTCCGTAAGCGATTACGATTTAGTTAAACTAAATTTTATAGATTAGTTCATTAAGCACCTTCTGAAAGGAAAGTTAACAAACCTTTTTGATTTAAGTTGATCATGGCAACAACTTTCAATAGGTACATTGCTACTTTTAAACTGAAATATTTGTATGCAAATTATTTTTGCTTTTCAATTCAATATCTTTTAATAAATATTGTTGTACCTTTATCCTTTTTAATAACAGTATAAATTGATTCATTAAAAATTACACAGCGAGAAATGAATATTTTAATAGTTCCTCAGCGTTTTGGTAGATGGCTTCACACTACTCGTTTAAAAGAAGCTTAATATATAGGAGTCACAGAATACTCGTTCCGTTTCAGTAAGTTAGAATGGTTGCTATTAGCACAGGTCCAAAATTGTTTAATTGGTAAAAAAATCTAAATCTATTAACTGTGTAATAGCATGTATAAATACTAAACTAAGTTGCCCACCACACCCACAACCCACCACTTATATTAATATTTTACTTGTTATATATACTACATTAAAGTAGGAGCTTATTCCAGGTCAGGTGTTATTGTTTGTAAACAGTTTGTCACAGTACTTCTACCTACATATTTATGACTTATATTATAATCTCTCGATAGTTAAGCTACTTTTTCTAGTAATGTTTACTACCTGTTGATGAGGGTTTAAAAGAAAAAATAAAACCTGAAACATTAACATTCTTTAATCACCAAAGTCCAGTACAAGAAAATTCCGTATTGTATGGGTCATACCAATCAATAAGCCTTTTATTGTTCCACATGAAAATTCCTTTCAATTTTGGAGACGCTTCGAGAATTAGGTATAGGACGACTTTTGCAGCTTCATCAGCGTCGACTTCACCACCACCGTGAGCCATATCAGTCTTAATATGTCCTGGGTGTACAGCATTTATTGATATATTCTCGTATTTCCGCTGCTGGACCATAGTTAATGCCGTTAGTGCAATTTTTGATACCCTGTGTTCGGCGTGTTTACCATCATCAGCAAAGTCATTTTTATTAAATGTTTTGTTTTTAACACTTTCCAAATATTCATTTACAAACTCGTTTATTTGTTCAGTTGTTAAATCTGGATCCATTAATGTTTCAATCCATCTTTTGTTCTTTATATTTGATAGATGGCCACATGCGCTCGAAATGTTGACAACTCTAGCGCCATCTCTTAACAAAGGGTACAAATACTTTTCAATTGTCAGTAAACTTTTGTAGTTAACATCAATATTCCGTTTAGCCACTTCGTAAGTCGGGTAAACTGCATCCCACTCCAAAATAGCGGCGTTATTCACCAACACATCGAAACCACCGTGTTTACTTTTAATAAAATCTGCGAATTTTTCCACACTGTTACTATCACTTACGTCTAATTGATGGAAAACTGGTTTCAATCCAATTTCGTTTAATGTTTTTATTGCTTGTTTCCCTCTATTTTCGTCTCGTGCAGTCAAGTAAACTATGCCATCATATTTTTGACACAATCCTTTCACAATTGCATATCCTAAGCCTTTATTTGCACCGGTGACAACAGCTATTTTGTCCGCCATTTTATTTTATAACTGACAGACATGCACATGCGCCCTGAGCACGAGTGTAATGCTACTGCCAAGTAAGACGTTGGTATTTATTAAGCAAAGTGGAGAGTTGAGTCACGCGTATTATAGGTTAAACACCTTTCGACCTACACAATCAAAATTTTAAGCGCTAGATCTTTAATCAAATCGTCGCGTGTGGGCAATTTCATAACATTGGCTGTTTACAAGTGGCATACTGAGCTCAAGGTCAATAAACCTCGTAATAAAAATTCGTTCCAAATTTCCTGCCGATTCACTTCTGCTCTCGATCTCACAGATGTCATAGAAAGTATTTTCATATTAAAGTATTACTAAGACTAGCAGAAATGTTAAAGGTCATGATGATGATCATCAGCCTATCGCAGTCCACAGCTGGACATAGGCATTCCCATTGCATGGCACTTAGATCGATTTAAATGTCATACTTAAAAGATATTCTCGTAGTAAAGTATTACTAATACTAGTAGAATACCTTGAAGATAATAATAATAATAGATTATTAAATATAGCAATAAATATAGCGCGTTTGTTAGACAAATAACTGAAAATTTTAATTTTGCGGGCGTCATTTATCTATATCTATACAAATAAATAAAATTGGAGTGTCTGTTTGTAATATTAAAATAACCGCTTTTTACTAAATGCATATGTATGTTTACACGGTACATATGCCAAAATAACATTTTTTACAATTTTTGTCTGTCTGTTTGTTCCGGGTAATCTCTGGAACGGCTGGACCGATTTCGACGGGACTTTCACTGGCAGATAGCTGATGACACAGGGAGTAACTTAGGCTACTTGCTTCGCCCCGCGGCGTTGCCCGCGGTTATAACAACAAACGCGGGTAACACCGCGGGTCTCAGCTAGTATATTATAATATTAGCCATATTTAAAAAGAATTTGCAAAAAACACTTGTTACAAAAATTTTTCAAAAATAAAACATTGTAGGAAGTTAGAAGTTAAATTATAATGCTTAAAATAACAACTTAGTAAATTATTCAACTGTTCAATTTTTGATGTATATTTTTATTTGTATTATATAATTTGTACTACGATAATAGATATTAAGTAAAATCTTATATATATATACAGTACAGTACAGTACAGTTGCACAGTTCATGTTTCGACTTATATTGTGCCAAATTAACAACTATGTATATGCACACATGAATTCAATGAAGATTGGAATAATTAATTGATTGAGGTCGTGAAACAACAACAACAAATAAAACTTTTATATCATAAAAACAGCTATAATACAATGCACTTAGTAACTTAAGTACTCATTATCAACAAACACTTAAATAAAAACTATATTAAGTAAAAGCAGTAAAAGATTTGCTTAAGCCCGGTTTTCTGTAAGGCCGTGGCAAGACTCCAGTCGAGTCGAACCAATACCTGCCGACTCACACCCAAAATTCCCATTTGTTTAATAAGGACAATAAAATGAATATTATTTACCACACACTAGGGATACCCAAATCAGCCTTAGAATCTAACCAATCAATAATTTGCCAATTGTCCCAGAAAAACTTTCCCTTTAACACCGGTTGAGCATCTAAAATTAAATACAAAATAAATTTAGCAGCTTCTTCGGCTTCAATTATTCCACCACCATTTGCCATATCCGTTTTCAAGTGTCCTGGGTAAACAGCATTAATTGATATTTTAGGATATTTCCGCTGTTGTAACATACTTAAAGCTGTAAAGGCTATTTTAGATACTCTATATTCAGCATGTTTGCCATCATCTGCAAAATCACTTTTATTAAACGTCTTATTTTTAACACTCTCCAAATATTCGTCTACAAACTCGTTGATTTCTTCTACTCGTAAATTGGGATCTTTTAATATGTTAATCCATTTATTATTTTTTAAATTAGAAAGATGAGCACATGGACTAGAAACGTTTACTACTCTTGCTTCTTCTCTCAAAAGTGGATACAAATATTCTTCAATAGCCAGCAAACTTCTGTAATTAATATCAATACTCCGTTTGGCCGCTTTATAAGTTGGATACACTTCATCCCACTCTAAAATAGCAGCGTTATTCACAAGTACATCAACACCACCATGTTTTGCTTTAATAAACTCGGCGAATTTCTTTATACTATTGTAGTCACTGATATCCAGTTGATGGAAAACGGGTTTTAGTCCAATTTCTTTCAGCGTTTCGACAGCGTCTAGACCTCTATTTTCATCTCTTGCAGTTAGATAAATAGTTCCATCATATTTTTGACACAATGCTTTCACTACGGCAAATCCTAAACCCTTATTTGCGCCAGTAATAACCGCAACTTTGCCCGCCATTTTGTTATATGTATATAATAAAATTGATTACGATCTTTAAGATTGTTTCATTAACGCCGTCTCAATTATACAGTTGTTTTGTATTTACTGAGAGTGTAAAAATAAATTTTATTTGCTGATAAGTATGACTGTTTGACGATAACTTTAATGTGGTATATTAATGCAATAGTAGTATACTTGTAGCTATAAACGCAATATAAACGACACATAAACTATTATAATCACTTAACTGATATTTAAATGAGGTTATAACTACAAACACGAGATATTTTAAAAGTAAAGTAGGAATTATAATTATTTATGGTTGAGTATTTTAATTAATAAAAAATTACATGTTTTTGTGGCATGGCATGTGGCAGACGAGCAGACAGTCACCTGGTGGAAAGTGACTATCGCCGCCCATGAACGTCTGCAACTCAGGAGTTACAAACGCGTTGCCAGCCTTTTAGTAAGAAGTATGTTCTTTTCCTGAAGATGCGAATGTCGCAGCGGTCCGGAAATTTCGCAGACGACAACAGTTATTTTTTTTTGTTAGAAGTCATTATGTATTGGAGGAAATTACGACCCGATCAGCAATACCCCTCTCTAGCCGCAATGTAGAGCTGTGGGAAGCAACTTACAGACAATGCCTACAATAATACGACAATAATTTTGGGCTGCAAAGATTAAGGGCTATTCACGCGTTGACATGACGAAGAAGAAGCAGTATATTAACAAAGGACCTCGTTACAAGCACCCGCAACAGTACCGGATCTTATGAATGTGGAACACGTGTGTGTTTTATGTAAGGATCGTGGGAAATAGCGCCGCTCTTTACTCCGGACGGGAATCCGTTACTCCGGAACGGAATAAGGCGTAAATATATACATATTTTAAATTTTAAAACCAGAAATAAAAGTCCCTTTAAAATTATTTTTACCGAATTGTTGCAAATTCTGCGTGAAACCCAAATGCGCGGAACTTTTCAGACACTGACAACTTTTTGTCTCGTATTATGGTTGTGTTCAAAGGCCTTAAACATAATTGTCAAAAACAGGGCATTTATGCGTGGTTATATTGTCAATAAATTTTTCTCGGTTGTTCTTTACAAATTTGCAAACGAATACTCCTGTGGTATTGTTGGGTTCACTTAGAAACTGTAGATACATTCAAATTACTTGGTGTAACTATAGACACACACATAAACTGGAAGGCACACATCGAACATACTAAAAATAAACTGTCTCGATTTACATACGCTCTATTCCAACTTAAATGCAGCACAAACGAAAAAACCGCACGCTCAGCATACTACGCATACTCCTGGTTAAGATACGACATTATGTTATGGGGAAACAGTGTACACTTTCAGAATTTATTTACACTATAAAAATAATAAATTAGAATTATTGGACAAATTGAAAATCGTGACAGTTGTAGGCAATACTTTATTAAATATAACATCCTCTCATTACCATCATTTTACATATTTGACATTTGCATATGTGTATCCAAGAACATGAATCACTTCACAAGAGTAAATGACAATCACATTAAGTTGTGACAGACTATAAATGCCACCATCAAGAATTAAAATGCTAAACCAGAGCCCCTACTACAAGGCTGTAAAAATATACAAAAAATTGCCTATCAACATAAAAACTGAATCTAAGATTACAGTATTCATTAAAAAACAAAAGCATTCTTAATTGAAAAATGTTTCTATTCAGTTAAAGAATACATTGAAGCAAAAACACATAACAAACTACATTTCTTATTACATGAATAACAGAATGAATACACCTAAACACAAATTATAAAAAAGAAAAATCGGTTTTGATACACAATAATGCCAGGGACAGTAGAAGAATATGTGTCGATGTAAAATTACGAATGACTTTGTATTTTTGCATGATTTGTCAAATTGTTTCAACTGTACGCAGGACAACAACACTGCAGAGAGAAGGAAAACTTGAAACAAACCCTTTTTTTTTTTTTTTTTTTAACGTGTGGAAATCCCCTCGGACCGTCACCCCTCCGGGGTTTGCGGCGGGGTGGTGTGTCGGACTAAGACCGACTAAAACCACACGGTGTGCCACTCTGCGCCTGTAACAGGAGGGATCCGGGAACAGCTGTTGTTAAGACATCCGGACCCCTCCTAGCGCCAGCCCGCTCCTGGTGCGGGCTCCGTCTTAGTATTTTTTTTTTTCCTCTCTTTAGGCGACGTCCGGCACACGCGGACGCCGCCCCCTCGCGGCTGGCCAAACTAATGCGGGTGGAGGGGAAACCCACCCCGTCCACCCGCGGCCACACTCAGGGCGGCATGAGGCTGTGATAGGCGGGCCTCCGCCGCCCGGTTCGCAGGCGGCGGATCGGGTCCGAGTGGAGGTCGTCCTCCCGGGCCCTCTCCGCCGCCTCCTTCCGCGAGATTACTACCTCGCAGAAGGTTGCGACCGCGGTAAAACAACTGTCGCTACCGGCCGTGGAGCGTACTACGGCCGGTAGCGAGAGATCCACTCCGATGACTGCGGTGAGGGCCCGGCGCTGCGCCGCCCATGCGGGGCAGACCGCCAGCGTGTGCTGGGCCGAGTCCTCACTTTAGTCGCAGTGGTGGCAGGCGGGACTCAGTTCCCTCCTAGCGACCGAGTGCAGGTACTTTCCGAAGCAACCGTGCCCGGAAAGCACCTGCGTCAGCCGGAAGGAAAGGGTCCCGTGCTGCCGCCCTGCCCACTCGGCGATGACCGGCTGGAGAGCCTCCACGGCGGCGAAGCCAGCGCGTGGAGTCTCCAGCCGGAACGACCAACGAGCCATCGTGGCTCGGCGAGCGGCTTCGCGCCACTCGCGCATATTCTCGGGCGGAGGGCGAAATCCGCTCTCCGCCCGGGAGTCAGTCACTCGCCGATAAACTTCGGCGAGCACTTCCGCCTCCAAATCCCACGGGGGAGTTCCGGCCAACGCGCATGCCACCTCCGTCGAAACGGTGCGGTAACCGCGTATGGCTCTGACCGCCATTACCCTCTGAGAGCGCCAGAGGCGTACCCTATTCTGGGCGGTCAGAGCCGCCGCCCACACCGGTGCACCGTACAGTGCCATTGACCGGACAACCCCCGTGTACAGCCGTCTTGTCGCGACGCTGGGTCCACCCATATTGGGCAAAAGTCGCCCTAGGGCAGACGCAGCGCCGACCAGCTTTGGAGCAAGCTGTCGGAAGTGCTCGTCGAAGAGCCACCTCCCGTCGAGGATCAGACCCAGATATTTCATCTGGGCCCGAACCGGTACGAGGACCGAGTTGACCACGATTGAGGCGCCAGGGGGTGGACCACGACGGGGCCCATGAAATAACAGGGCCTCCGTCTTATCTAGGGCCACCCGTAAGCCCAGCGCCTCAATGCGCCCGACCACCAGGGAGACTCCCCCTGTGGCCAGGCGCGCCGCCTCTTGGAAGTTTGCCCCCCGGGCTGTCACCAGGGTATCGTCTGCGTAACAGATTACACCCAGCCCGGGGGGGAAATCGGCGCGAAGGGCCCAGTCGTACCCTATGTTCCACAAGAGGGGTCCAAGAACAGACCACTGTGGAACACCGCACGACATGGGCCGACACCTCAGATTACCTTCTCGGTCCTCGTACACGACGGTACGCTCCTCTAAATAGTCTGCCACTAGCCGCCTCAGGTACTTTGGCACCCCATGATAGTGTAGTGCTTCCCTGATGCAGCTGAATGGCAGACTATTGAATGCGTTGGCGATGTCTAATGACACCGCCAACAGCACGCCGCCACAGCTCACGGCCTCTTCGGTCACGGCCCTCAGGCGCAACACGGCGTCGACCGTCGAACGCCCCGCCCGAAAACCAAATTGGGCGTCCGACAGATCGGGGCCCACCTCGCAGAGGTGCCGGACGATGCGGGCAGAAAGAACCCTCTCAAACAATTTGCCCGCCTCGTCCAGCAGCACGATGGGCCTATAGGCCGCGACCGAATCGGCAGGCCGTCCCGGCTTCCTCAGTAGGACCAGCTTCCCGCTCTTCCAGCACTCAGGGAAGCGTCCCGACGCCAAGCTAGCGTCGAACACCTCCCCGAGGCGGTCTGCCATGTGGTTGAGGGCCAGGGCCAGCACTCGGGCCGGTACCCCGTCTGGCCCAGGGGCGGTGTTCTTGGAACGGATCCGTAGAACAGCCGCCCCTACCTCCGATTCCCGGACGGGCGGAACATTATCCTCCCCGTGCTCCCCGTCGTCTCCGGCCAAGGAGGCCATCGCCGGGGGAGTGTGCTCCGCTCGTTGTGGGAAAAGGCCCTCAACCACTTCTCGCAGGAAGCTGGGCTGGAGAGTCTCCGTAAGGGGGGGGCCCGACGCGCGGAGCTTTTGTCGCACCGCGCGGTAAGGGCGACCCCAGGGGTCACGATTAAGACCCTCCAGCATCTCCTGTCTCTTTTCTTCTTTGTGGATCAGCTTCAGAGTTTTCCGCGCCCGTCGGTACTCCTCATGAAGCCGGTCCTCCTCACCGTCTCCACGGTGACGCCGCCGACTGCGCGTGTAGGACCTCCGGGCACGTGTACAGGCCACACGGAGGTCCGCCAGCTCCTGGGACCACCAGTAGACCTCCTTCCTTGGAGGCCGACGACCTCGAATGCGGGGCATGGCCGTATCGCATATATGCGTAATCGCATCGCGAAAGCGACCAGCCCCCACGTCGACCTCCTCGGTCGGAGCCTGAGGAGACAGCCACGAGTGAATTATGGCTGCCTCCTCTAGTAGGTCCCGGTTCAGTTTGGCAACAGCCCACCGCGGAAAGCGGGATAAACGCCGCGCCACGTGACCCCTACTGGAGTCCTGGGTCCGGGAGAGCTCAAATCGGATATACAAGTGATCCGAGAGCGTCTCAACCTCTTCCAGGACACGCCAGTTCCTTACTCGTGCGGCGAGGGCAGGGGTAGCGAACGAGAGGTCCACTATCGACCCCCCCTGCTGTCGCACGCACGTGTTGGTGGAGCCTCTGTTTAGAAGACAGACAGACAGCAGGG